AAAACAAATCGATAATTTGCACAATAAGACAAAACAATACCCATCCCTTTTCAAAAAAATAAAAGAGCACGATAAAGGTGACAAACTGCAAGATTAAGATGTAAGAATAAGGGAGGGCCGGAAAAAAGTAAAGTGAAGAATCTACTATAAACCTTTCAATTAAAAACTAAGCTTCTGCGTAGTTAAAAAATAATATATTTATTTTAGGAGACACTTTTATTAGGGAAAGGAAAAGATATTACAATCATGTATTTTACTTCAGTTTATGGTAGTCAAGTAAAAGATACAAGTTTTACCAAAGAGTAGTTGAAGCATGGTTGATGAAAATGCCCTTGTCAAAGAGTGAGTGATTAATTTATACAAAGATGTAAGAGTTAGCTAGCAAGGGCCATTGAAAAGCATAATCCCACATTATTGGTGATATAATTACATATATAACTACCTGGCAAAAAAAAATACAAAACTCTAAGCTGTATATTAAAATTCTGTGTGTGTGTGAGAGAGAGAGACAATTATATGAACATTAAAATTAAAGACGGCCGGCGGTCATTGAGATCAACTCATAACCGATATTTACTTGGATCTTTCTCCCTGTCTTTTTCTGAACTCTCTTGTGTGCGTGTGGTGCAGCTATAATACATGAGAAACCTGAGAAACGCATTCATATTGTGAAGCAGCATTACGATATACAACCTCCGGTCCTAATTATAAGAACTAGTTGACTAATTTGAAAAGATTAAAAAAAAGTTAAGTTAGTTATTTGTAGCAAATAGGTGTTGTCTTTTCTAAATATCTTTACTAATCAAGTGTATTAGTTAGAACTACTATTGTTAAAAAGACTACATCGAAAAAAATGCATAAATATAAGAGACAAAATGGATTAAGATCTTATATTTAGGATCAAAATAAAAGTCAAACAAGATCTTATATTAAGAACCAGAGGTAGTATATGGTTCTCATCAACAACATTGTGGTGTTAACTGTAATATCCTAAATTAATTTTTAGGATTTATATAAAAAATAATAATAATATTTTATTATAAAAAAGTTTTCAAAAAAAAATAATTGAAAAATAATATAATATAATATAATAATAATATTTTATTATAATATTATTAAAAAAAAAAAGGAAGAAAGAATGTCAAACTTTCCACCGAATTCGGTGGAAAGTTTGAGGAAGGGGGATAGGGGTTGGGGGTTGGGTTTGAAATCCCCCTCCCCCAATAAATGTGTGGGGGTGTTAAATAACCCCCACAATTCTTTTCCCTCACAGGTGCCAGAAGAAGAGAGAGAGAGAGAGAGCTGAAGATTGTGTGAGAGAGAGGAGCATACCGGTGAAGGAGAGGACAAGCTTTGCAGATATTTTAGGTACATAAAATTACTTCTTTTTATCAAAATTTCTTTATAAATATTTTCTGTATATTTTAAGTTTCCTATTTACATTATTACTGTAGTTATTAGAGAAAATTTTGAGACTTATATATGATCTAAGTATTGAGTTTTGACAAAAGATGACTATAGAAATTTAGAAGTGAATGAGTTGGTAATTTTAATCGGTTAGATTTGTTCATTTGTTGGTTTTTAGTATTTAAATTAGTTTTTCTAGATGAAAAATCTGTTATATATGATTTATATTATATTTTTACCGATTAAATTCAAGTTAAGTAATTTATTTGGGTTGGTTGACATATTATTAAGATTTTAATCAGTTTAGTTTTATTTATTGGGTGACTGGAGGTTTTAAAATAATTATTACAGCTACAAAGTTTATTATTTATGGAAATATATATATATATATATATATGTATATGGTAGTTATACCATTGAAGTTTTCATTAGATTATTTATTTATGAATATTTGAAGTATTATTGAATTTTTGAGAGTTTGATTTGAGTTTAAACTGAAAATGAGATTTTTAGAATTTAGAATATAGTAATTTTATATTTGGAAATTGTGAAAAATTCTTTTTATCAAGGTAAATAATTTGGAGGTGGTAAATAAGTAATTTGGGTTGTTAGAAATTTTAAGTTGTTTCTAAAATACTTAATAATTTTTGAGCTATGAGAGTTGTGGGAATTTAGAGTAAAAATTTAATTAAATTAGAAATTTAACTATATATATAAGCTTAATTAATTAGCTTATATTAATTTGTGGTTATATTAATGGTGTAGATTGATTATTGGATTGTTGGTTTGAGCACGGGGTTGACTTTGTAGTAATTCTTTTTATAGCCTTGGTGAAAGGTAACCACTTTCCACTTGTTATGTATGCTTGTATGATGTTTGTGAGTGATTTCGAATTATACGAGATTCTTGAATTGCCATTGAATTATTATTTGAGCAATAAAAGGCATCATTGTTGAAATTGCCTTGAGATACTTTATGTTATTGAAAAATAGTATGAAATTATGAATTTATAAATTTGTCATGTGGAGCAAGAATTTATTAAGAAATGGTTTGAGGACTGATGTTGATTATTGAAATTTTGAAATCTCAATTTTGGTAAATGTGAAAGTTATTATGTTATTGGTAAATGATTATTCTCATGAGGATAAATACGAGAGGGGACGGTGAACGTTGATTTGTAGGAGACATGTTATAGGGAGAATAAGGGGGTGAATATTTGTACATATTATAGAGGTAATAAGGTGGGAGGACGCCAGATGTACACTGGTTGATCCTTTGGCCCTACCATGTGTTGTAGGGCGTATGACACCCCGCTAGTGGACTAGAGGGGGAACCCATGGTCCGATCTTGTGCTCTGTGGATTTTGGCCTATTCACATCACTTGATCGGTGAGCTTATTATGTTGAACTACCAGTCACATGGGATAGTACTAGCCCATGGGTTCAGTCAGAGGAAATAAGGTGTGAGGAAATAAGGTGGAATTGAGAGTGAGATATTGTATTTTGATATGTATATATATATATATATAATCATATGACAATTGTGAATGTTATGATTTTAATAAATGTTCCATTTGACACCTCTCAAGCACTTACTTGTATGCCTGATGAGTAGGATTGTTGGTTACTGAGGCTTTTGTCTCACCCCGTGGTTTAACATTTTCAGATAATAGCTCTAGGGCTGGTCCGTCAGGGAAGGCAGTGAAGGCTTAACTATCAAGTTTATCTTGTATAGCCTCCTTTTTGTCATGTGATGAGTATTGTATATTGCCACATCTAACTCTTTTTGCATACTCTGCTTTATTTGAGACTTTTGGTCTTAGTTACTTTTGTTACTGGGTTGCTTGGGTCTGTAAGCTGTGAACCCACAATGACTTTGAAAGTAGTTGATTACTGTTGGTTTGGACAAATTTTATTCAGAAAATATCATGTTATGGGCTTAGAGATGATTTGTGACGTTCTGGGCTTTGTAAAGCCCAAGATCCGGTTATTGTGAAATATTATTAATTATGGTTTTTATACAACTTGCTTAGTAAAACTCTTATAATCATGATAGACATTTTGAATAACTAGTTCAAGTCTTTTCTATCATGGTTAATATTTTTGGCGAATCAAGATTTCTTTTTATAACCATGGTAGCTTTTTCAAATATTATACTAAGATTCTTTTCTACCATGGTTAGTACTATTTAATTTGGAATTTAAAAAGGTGAGTAATAGGTTAGAGATAACCGATGTTAACATCCGTAGGAAAGGAGAAGAACATTAAAACGAGGTATTGGGATGGTTCAAACCAATCGTAGCATCATTCTGACAATTGATTCTATGGTTTGATTGAGCCGCGCCAATATCACGTCTCTAATATGTATACTACTAATTTTATTTTGTAGTATATTATATATTATTTAATTTATATTGTTATTGCCGCTGCTGCTATTTTAATTTCTTTCTTTATGTACATGCATAATTAACATAGAGACTCTCCATAAAATAAGTCATGTATCATTAATGTATCTTGTTAAAATGAGAAGAGCATACATTTATATATGGGCACGAGCTCTCAAAAAAGAAAGAGGGCTGGTTCCATGGATTCCCTGCATCAATCTGTCCTTCCAAACTTTGATCCATGGTTGAATATACTGATGTCTTTCAATTATTCACCGAACACTTGAAGATATTTTTTGTAGCAGATGACGAGGATGCCTACATCAGAAAGTAAGTATTTCTTCTTGTTCTCCATCCCTTGGCATCTCAAATTAGTGGACTTTTAAAAATAAACATTACACGTCCTAAATATAAAATAGTATAAATTACATTAAAAACTAGCTACTCTTGTATTTAGTACCAGAGGTTGTGTGTATATGAGATGTTGTTTTCTGGTCAGAGAAGCTGATCTAATTTCTGATTAACTTTATTATATTCACTTTTTTCTTGTTTGGAATGTTTTGCTCCTTCCAAACAAAGGACAGTCAATTGCTTCCTATTTATAAGATCCTACCCAATTAATCCTTAATTAAACACATCCAATCCGACAGAAAAAATTATTAAAATACAAATATGATAAGCCACTTTTTTAATTTTAATTTCTTAACTCAAAATGACGCTACTTTAGACACAATATAATAAGGAGAAAAAGTGTAAAATCCAATCCGGTCAAGTTGTTGGAAACTCTTTACTAAACCAGCTGAGAAACTAGATCATCAAATCTCATCCAAATTAAATTTTGATACCATGATAAAAACTACATATAGTATAATTCAATGTATACCATGTTTATGGCCAACCTAGCCATTACAAATTTGACGATGAAAAGATCTTAATTAATAATTAAAAAAAAGGAAATTAAAAAATAAATTGATTGGTTCAAGTTAAGTGATTGCCTCTCAAATAAAAATAGAAAGTTGTTTGAAAGGATGGATCATATATAACCAACCCAGCTTGTACAATAGCCTCCAGGGAAGTCATATTCATTCATTCAATCCCTGTGTTTTCTTTTCCTTCTCTTCCCTCTCCAATACGATCATATTCATTTTCATAATTAATTATCTTCTTCTTCTTCTTCTCTTTGATTTAATTGTATAAGAACGACATAACCATGGAATATTATTCCAAGTCCAACGTTATTCTTTCAATGTTGTTCCTCATTTTCTCTCGGTTTCTTCATGAGGGATTCTCGCAGCAACTTCTGAACCCAAGGTTGTCGATAGGTAACATGCAGTGCGTGGAGAAGCTGGCTCCTTGTGAGCCGTACATCAAGAAGCCGGGGACGGCATCGGGGACCCCACCCGAGACGTGCTGTCAGCCGTTGAAGGACATGATCGCCGGCGATGTTGAGTGTCTGTGTAACGTGTTTAACAGCCCGGAGATGCTTCAGTCCATAAACGCTACCAAGGATGATGCCTTGAAACTTCCCAAGGCCTGTGGTTTAGATGCAGATGTTTCCAAATGCAACAACGGTACGGAATTAATGACAATTTTAATTAATTTCTACATATAGTGATCAATCATTGTGTTTCAGCCAGAGATTCATTTGATTTTGATGTGTTAAAAATTAATAAAATGAGATATGATATGACTTTATTTTCCACTGATTTTGAAATTCTAATTTCTTTAAGTTACAAAAAAAGCTGAGGTAATTCTAATTTGTAAGGATAATTCTTTCTTTCCTCTCAATACTGCTTATGGATAATTCTAGTTTGTAGTTTAAAGATGATATTACTTTATTTTACACTAATTTTGTTACTTCTTGTTTCATTGCAGGTGCAAGTTCACCAACCAATTCATCCAACAGTAAGTTTAATTTTTTCTTCATCGATCATATATAACAAGTCCCACTATCTCATGCCTAGCTATGGAAAAACAAATCCTTGAACATCTGCACAACTGAACAACTAAGCCTATGCATTTAGATTATTCAAAAAATTTTAGTTTTCCGTTAAGATGCTAGTAGAATCCTCAGATAAGCGAGCATCTATCCCGTCTCAAAATTCTAGACTTAGTCTCTTTGCTAAACATATATTACACTCGTTATATCGATTAGAGGTCTGAGGCTAATTCTAATAATTCTGCAAACTAATGGCATGATATATAGCTTTTTTGGAAATGAAAAATTACATGTTCAGTTTTATTTTATAAATTTAGGCCGTTAGTATCTGCTCTTCTAAATTCATAAAAGAAGTCCAAGGTTGATGGGGCCCATCCCATCTCATGAATCCCTCTAATCATTAGTCTTTGCAACAAATAGAGACTAAAATTAAATTTTGATGTCTCGCATTTTGAATAATTCAATCCGTTGGCTTGATCTAATGACTAAAAGGGAAATTAAACTTTATTAGAATGACTTGGATCATATAGATCTTTATTCATACACCACCATATTCCCCCACCGTCTAATTAAGCTAGTCTCCGATGGCTAACAATTCTCATTTTATTAACACACGTGACATTGGAACATTCCCATTGTAAAAACCTGTTATTATGCAAGGCGACACAATTTCATTAGAATATAACGAAACCTATTTGTATATATATAGGTCTAATTGTGTGTGTGTGTGTGTGTGTGTCTTTTCTTGTTGACACAAAAAATGTTGTAACGAGTTCTTTATTCGATATACTTCAGGTGGTGCAAACCAAACTGCAGCAGCAGACGCATCAAAGTCAACGAGTTCAACCACAATGATTATTACACCCAGTGGACTTGTTTTGACGTTTGCTTCAGTTTTTTCTGCATACTGGATTTAGACGTACAAGTTCCTTGAGATTAATTGATTAATCAATCTAGTTTAAATATTTAAATGAATTCTCTACATTAATTAACACAATAATCATATATCAATATATGTGATTATTATCAATTCATCTCTCTGCTGACACCAATTTTCTCTTCTCCTTTGATCTCTTCGTGAATGCATTATGTATAATCTACAATTACTTAATGAATGATGCAGAGAATCCAGATCGGAGCTATATATATATATTCCTTCGGTCCTAAATATAAGACCCTTATATAGTGTATATAAGGGTCTTACATTTAGGATTGGAAGAGTACTTGGAAGGTGATTAAGGAAGGAAAAAGAAGAAGTTTATATACATTTAATTTGTATGATCTACGTGTTTACTATATATAATTTATATCTTAGGGGGAGATTGGTTCTCTTATATATGAAGAGGGAAACATGTTCCCTCACATAGGAAAAGGACTGTTCAAATCCTTGTTTTGCTAATTAAATAGCTAGAGGGGCCATGAATATTGAAGAATACTATGTATGTAATTTTATGACAAATGAATATGATCATATATATATGTTTAATTTACTTTTATATTTGACACTTGTGTATCAGTAACGTAGTCAATTCTGGATCTGAGCATTGAAAAAATTAATTACGAAATTAATTACATGTAAATGCATTGAGCAACAGACCCAACTCTAATTCTTAAAAATGTGCAAAATAAGACTTGAACATCCGAATAACTAATTAACTGGACATTTGATTCTTTTAAAATATAAACAATAAAAATATATAGTAAAATAAAAGATGAAGAACACCTAGATACTTAGCCTTATGGCTTATATAGTTAATATACTTTTTTTCCAGTCAAATCAGAAAAAGAGATTTTAAGTTGTTAAAAATTTTAATAATAAGAGTGTTATAAAATAAACAATATATAAAAAGCTAATAATATTGTTTGAAAATACGGCTGCTTCAAGTGTATTCACAAGATTTTCTAATAACATCGAATCAATTTTTGTATAGCTACAAAAAGAATTTGAATCTTTGCGTCTGAGCAGAGCTTACAAAGAGAATGTTTTGAAACAAAAATCAAAGTACCTAATAAACAACAATAACCCAATCGCAAAAAATGAAATATACGAGTCGGATTTCGGGTTATTGTTGACGTAGAAACGGGTGGGCCAAAAGCTGAGACGCTGTCCATCTCTCACTTGATTCCTTCTTCAAGCAGCGCTCCATGAAGCTCCGAAACTCGTCGGGCGCACTCTCCGGCAAGGTTGGTGGATCGTTGAAACAAATGGCAGACATCAACTGAGCCCGATCGGGTCTCTGACCCGCTGGTAGAAGTGTAAAGTGACCCACATAGAGCTCAAATAAAGTGAGCCCTAAGCTCCGTATATCAGTCGCATACCCGTTATAATTCCCGCCATAACTATTCGGGTCGAACGTTCCGGGCTGATGTACGTGCATGTACCAACGTATGAATTACACGTGTCCAACGTCCTAGACAAAACCTTGCTGACTCCGAAATCGCTGATCTTCACACTTCCGTCTTCTGATTCACGAGGACATTTGACGGCTTGATATCGCGGTGGATATTATGATCTTTTTATCGTGGAGATAGCTCGGCCCAGCGAGAACTTGACGGGCCACCGCGGCGAGTTGAGATTCAGAGAAGGTGCCGTTGTTCTTTAGCAGCTCGTCCAACGTTCCCAAGTCCATGTACTCCAGCAATATCCCTGCATCGCCGAACGGCGTCTCAAAGAAATCGTGGAACTTTACTACGTTTGGCGAGTCCGTCCGTCGGAGGATGTCTATCTCTCGCCGGACCTGGCGGGAAGTCATTGGGTCGGAACTGCCATGGACGACCTTCAGAGCGTGGTTATTAGAAGTTCGGTTGTCGCGAACCTTGTAAACCGTGCCACTATTTCCGTGGCCAAGAACTTGAAGCTTTCAACGCCGTTAGGAGTGAGGTCTGCGGCGGAGGAAATGGCGGGGATGCGGAAGCAATGGGAGGGCTCCGGCAGCTTAAGGTGGAGGTTGGAAGGCCGGCGTTGACATACGACGTCAGCCATTATTGTGAAGAGAAAGGTAAGGTGCGAAGGGTTCGTAGATAATTGAATGATGAGTGGGAGAAGAGTGTGACTGCTCGACTGTGAAGGATTTAGCGCTGTACGTGAACAGTGTATACACACACAAACAAACTTTTTAGGTGGTTTGGAAGGAAGCGCTGAAAATAAGAATAAAGATTAGGACTGGGATTAAAAAAATCTGTTAAAAGAGTGCTTGGTACGATTGAATGTTTATTATCTGGGATTAGATAAATCTATACATTTGGGATTAGAGAATATAAGATTATCTAATCCCATGAAATAAAAAATTATTCATATTAAATACTTCTTAGGGCTTGTTTGAACCAGTTTATGAGTAGTTTATAAATAGCTTTTTAATAATGATTTACGGAATACGAGGTAAGTATGTGAGAGGAGTTTTGTCTCGGCTAACGTAAAACGTGCTTATGGGAGATTTTCACCGCTCGGCCAAACGGGACCTTAGTAGTTTTTTCTCAATCCTAATCTAAATCCTTATATCTTATTTTTAATGCTTTGTAGTAAACATAATCTTAGATTAGAGATTCAATTTTCGGGAACAAAGGATTCAGAAAGATAAATTTTCTTTTGACAAAAAAAAGATAAATTTTCTTAGAAACAAATTTCGATAAAAAAATTATTTTTAGCTTTTATATTTTAAAGAAATAAATTAATATCTACGTACTAAAAATACAGCAGCCAATTATTCTTATTATATATTTTAGTCCTAGTGAATTAAAAAATTAAAATTTTAAGAAGAGACTGAAGTAAATTTTAATCTTACATTTAAAAATTTCAGATCAAAGGTAGCATTTTAAGTCTAACTTTATAAAATAGAATCTAAGTATTATAAGATACAATTAACTTTAGCTTTATAACATGGAGATAGTCGGAATATATATTCTAAATAGATCACTTACAAATCTTTATGTATTTATTTGAGAGAAACTGATATTTTCGTTTTAAATATCAATCTATATATGTATTTGAAATATTTTACATGAAATTGCATGAGATATAAATCACAATAGTTATATCTTTTTTTTGACCAGCACATGTACAGTAGTTATATCTGGCATGCGACTTGCATAAGATTTCATACTTGGATAAAATTTAGACCCTTGTACTTATATTTAATAAGTTAAATTCTCCAATCAAATCACAGTACATGATTTTTTTTTTCAATAATAAAAATTCAGTACATAAAATTTTAAAATTCTATTAGACCATAATTAATAAATAAAAAAATCAATTATGATAAGACTCAAATAAAAAATTGCATTAAATAAATATATGCAAATGAATCTAGATTTTATTCTTTATATATATGGTTTAAGTTTCTTTGGTCAGCATATATACTACCTCAGATCTTTAATATAAGAGTTAAATGATTAATTTGAAGAGATTAAGAAATTTTTTAAAATTAGTTATTTGTAATAAATATGTATAATCTTTTTTAAAATACCCCTGTTAATCACATGTATTAGTTAAAAATACTATTTGATGTAACATTTAACATATGTAACTACTGCATGGAGTATATTTTGAAAAAAGTAGATAAATATGAGAAACAGAGTGAATTGAAAAATTATGTTTAAAACCAAATTAAATATCAAACTGATTCTTATATTAAGAATCAAATGTAGTATTATTTAGGGTTAATTAATCTATAGGTCCTTATAGTTTTAACTAATTTTGAATCAGATCTTTATAGTTTTGTTTCTTTTTATAAGGTCCTTTTACTTTCATATGTTTTTAATTAGGTCCTCGCATTTATTCTTCTTTTTATTAAGTTATTATAATTTTATTAAATTTTTAATCAGGTCCATCTAGCTTTAATTTTTATTTGTTAATTAAATATAAATTTAATTAAATCCATTAATATTGAAATATAAAATATTAATAATTATATAATAAAAATAGTAATATAATTAATTAATCCAGGAAATTTTTTTAGAACAATTAATTCTTTTGCTGAAAAAAATAAAATTATTATTATTCCTAGAATATTATTGTTTATAAACTAATATTAAATAATATATACTGTTTTATGTTTATAGAATAGTACTATTGGAATTTATAAAATAAAGAATAAAAAATTCAAGGACTTAATTTAAAATAAGATGAACTTATAAGGATTTGATTAAAAGAAAAATAAATACAAAGACCTAATTAAAAACAGGTGAAAGTATAAGGACCTAATAAAAAGAAAAAAAATTATAGGGACCTCATTCAAAATTGATTGAAACAATAAGGACTTGCAGATTAATTATCCCTATTATTTAAGTTAAATCTATACAAAGTGGCTAAATTTTAACTTGTAAGTTAAATAAAACTAAAAAAATCAAAAGATTAATATTACTTTTAATTCATCAAATTTCATTTCATTTTGATTTTTATCCCTAAAATTTTTTTACAAAAAGTCATTTAATCTTAAAATTTGATTTTATTTTGCCTGTTTTAAAGATTTTTTTTGTCCGTATAACAGTATTTTTTATCCCTGACCTTAAGTTTTTCCACGAACAAAAGTTAGTTTTTTTTTTTAATTGCAAAAGTTAGTTTTAAACTAAGAGATAGAAATAAAAATGAGGTCAAAATTCTGGAAACAAAAAAACAAAAAAAACGAATCAGTAACAGTCGGCACCCTGCAGGCATAACCGGCGATAGCGATTATAGATAGCGTCCGTTTCTTCTTCGAGGCTTCACATCTTATGAAATCGTTCTGCCCTTTTCCATTCTCTCTCACAGCTCGTCAATGGCAGATCAGAACCAAAAACCAGAGCTCTTTGAGCTCAACAATGGAACCATGCATGTCCTCGTCACCAATGTCGGCTGCACCATCACTTCCTTGTCGGTCCCTGGCAAAGATGGTGATTTAATCTCGCTCTCTCTGTTTTTTTTTTTTTCCCTTTTTCAATTTGTGTTGGGATGCATGTTCCTCACGCATCCTTCTGTTTGAATTTTGAAGGAACCTTGTCGGACGTTGTTCTCGGGTTCGACTCTGTGGATCCATATCTGGTAAGATTGTGTAAACCCTTATTTAGTTTGATTTCACTTTTCGTGGGATCATATCTTCACTGATCATAATGGGTGGACCGATTTTGGCCTGATTAGCTCACCTGATTAATAGGCATTGGGAATTATATGGGAAATGTATGATTTTATTGGTCGGGAGTAAAAGGAGTATTGGTTCATAGACTCGCATGTCTGGTTTGTACTCTCTGTCTTGTGATGGAGAATTTCTTGAGTCGAATCGATTACGTTTTCCTTCTATTCTGATCATTTCTCCCCTCATAAATTCATGATGCATTCAGAAAGGTCTTGCTCCTTACTTTGGCTGCATTGTGGGTCGGGTTGCGAACAGAATCAAAGACGGGAAGTTTACACTTGACGGAGTTCAATACTCATTGCCTGTCAACAAGCCCCCAAACAGTCTACATGGTAAGAATTTGGCATCTGTTTAGCCTGTGCTATTCTTTTCCAAAATTTTTTAGGGAATTAAAATTATCACGTTTTGGAACTATAGACAGAGTGACTGAGAAAAGGTGACGCCGCAAGATGGAGTTCCTTTTTTCGCCTTTCTCTTTTGGAAATGAAAAAAAATCTTGTTTCACAAGCATAAAAAAAATTTGCCACCTTATGTGCACTGGATTAGGATCATACCTTTGGTTATTGGTCTCTAAATCTAACATTTTTCTTATTGCACAAAAGCTTAGATTTTGATAATTTAAATTAAAGCAAGTTCAGATGTGTCATGAATGTTAAGTTAATTGTATCATAGGATTATATATGTGCATTATTTTCTGGTCGTCTCATCTGGTGTACATGCTGGCATTTCTTTATCTCCTCATACGATACAGTTTATTATGGTTCTGAAGTAGTAGTTTCATGCTGTTTATGTACTCAGGAATGACCACCTTACAATGATTGTGCATAAACCTTTTATTTGTTTTTTCTTTTTTTGAAATTAGTATTACTTTTTTCTTGAAATACTAGTACTGATATGATTCTGAGTTAAATATGAAAATCGGAAGCATGAAATGTAACCTTTTGCCAAGTGAGGATGCTCATTTCTAAACAGAGTACTCTTACAATGATGATATATAATTGTCTTTTGTGTGATTTTGCACATATCCTGATCTCCCATACCTCTTCTGGTTTCTAGGTGGTAACATGGGGTTTGATAAGAAGGTGTGGGAGGTTATTGAATATAGGAAAGGTGAAACCCCTTCGATCACTTTCAAGTATCACAGCCATGATGGGGAGGAAGGTAACTCATCCCTCCCCTTGTTCTCTTGAATCTCTTCCTTTTATGATTTCTATCTCCCCAGTTATATATTTTTCCTCCCTTTTTTTTTTTTTTTTAAATACAAGGTTATCCTGGGGACCTTACTGTTACTGCAACTTACACACTCACTTCTAAGACAACTCTAAGGCTTGACATGGAAGGAGTGCCAAAGGACAAGCCCACTCCAGTGAACTTAGCTCAGCATACATACTGGAACTTGGCAGGCCACAGCTCGGGGAACATCCTTGACCATTCAATTCAGATATGGGCTCATCATATCACTCCTGTGGATGAGAATACTGTACCAACTGGTGAAATTAAGCCAGTGAAGGGTACCCCATTTGATTTTACATCTGAGAAGAGGATAGGCGACACCATTAATCAGGTTGGAATAGGATATGACCACAATTACGTGCTTGGGGGTGGGGATGAGAAGGAAGGTTTAAAACATGCTGCGAAAGTGAAGGATCCCTCAAGTTCAAGGGTTTTGAACCTGTGGACAAATGCCCCTGGCATGCAATTCTACACTGCAAACTATGTCAATGGTGTTTCTGGTAAACAACGTGCTGTTTATGGAAAGCATTCAGGCCTGTGCTTGGAGACGCAGGGGTTCCCTAATGCCATAAACCAGCCAAATTTCCCTTCTGTTGTTGTCCGACCTGGTCAAAAATACCAACATTCCATGTTGTTTGAATTTTCAGTTGAGTGAAGTTGTACTTTTAGGAGTGACACTGGAGAACTGGTGTGCCCCTAAAAAGATTTTCAGCATAAATATCCGTGTCTCCCAGAATAATAACTGCGTGCTTTGTGTTTAAATAAAAGTTCTTTTAGTGCTGTTTGTACCTGAGTTTGATGAGGGCATTAGTTTCTATCAATGATTTTATCAAAGCATGTATGCGCATGTTGAGGCTTGTGCTTGGCTAACCATGGATCTTGCACAAGTTTCTCCCCCACACACAAAAACATGACAAAATAAATTTAAAATCAACTAATATAAAATAAAATGGAAAAACATTATATTTTGGAAATTTTTATTGTCGATGGCACTACTTGCTGACTGTTGACCATCCATGTTCACCATTGGTGTACTAACATACAACGCTCCCTGTGTGTCACTGTTCCTGTTAATGAATCAGTTATGGCTTGGCTGCCGTCAAAAGAATCATGTCATTAATTGCAGGATTGTTATACTCACACTTCTACCCATGCATTGTCTAATTAGTCACGACACACCGTTGGCGGAAAAACAGAAAAACGACATCCACCCATCAATAAGAGTATGTGCACTTTCAATCAACAGCGACATTAAGAAGTTTTGAAAGTTATAACATTGCCCTTAATCTATCATACTATTTGTGCCATAATTAATTAAGACATTGACCCCTCTAAAAAAAAAAGAGTTTTTAATCAAGGATGACATTGAGAATGAGATCCATTGGTCCCTGACACGCCTAGCACACGCAAGGAATATTCACAACAAACATGTAACCGAGAAATTGGTCCGTAAAAACAAAATTGCATCTATAGGATTCCTATTTTTCCACATAACCAAACCAGATATATATTGGCTTCAAGTGTGAAGCTTAATTGAGATTTTTATTTATATATATATTTACATGAATTTCTCTGGAACAACGGTACTTAATCGTGATCGGCAGTTTTCAGAATCTCGTGCGAAACCCTGAACGTTCTTTCTTGTCTTAATATCTAATCAATGCTTCCAAGTACAAAGAAAAGTCTACATAAACCGAAATGTACCAACCAGACATAAATGTATGCTAACGGATTTGCCCATCAAGAACACTGAAAAGGCATAATCTGAAATATTAATGCACAAATGAATAAGAAATGGGCGGAGCGCCAAAAACAAAGCTGGAATAGGTACAAATACAGGCCATATTCAATTGCTGCTACTCTCTCTTGGGGCTTCCTCCAGATTATTTCACTTTGACCGAACCAACTCAAGTGGCAATGTTTCCATTGCCAGCTGAAAGTTCAAATAAATCAATAAATTCCGAAAGACAAACATGTTACTGCCTAGTGCCTACTGAGTGGGTGAGAGAGAGAGAGAGAGAGAGAGCTGAAAATAAGAATAACACATTTGTCTTCCATTGGAAGAAAATGGGATTACACTTACCCACAGTCTAGGAGTTCTAGGATCAACCTTTACTTGTGATTTAGAAAGCTCTGACTTGAAGCTTATAACAACGGAAATTTTGAACTCAATTGAGAATGGACTGCATGAAAATAATAACAAGCTTAGAGAGGCGTTCTATGTTGATCATCTTGGTGATGTTAGATAGATGCTATGTCACACGAGGAGAGGATAGACACAGAAAGCATGCGCCTTTTAAATTATCACGACCTTCTTAGTACCATATGTTTCTAGTGACTAGTTGGGTATATTACACTTCTCTCCGCTTAGATGACAACCTAATTAATAACAAAGTTTGATGTCATGTGGTCCAGACTTGGAATCAAGTAAAGCTGATCATGTTGGCATTTTGTAATCTTCTCAGGGGAGATAACAGTTATATGGGGAGAGAAAAGAAAAGGAATCTTTTCTTTTTACTTCTATAATTAACTGTACTGTGCCTGTATCACTCTTCACAAGATCATTTTACATCAGAAGCATATTGTCGTGTTGGCACTGGCAACCGATAATAAGCAGAGCATAAGTAATTTCATGTGGAAAATATTCATGAAACATAATGAAGGATGGAGGACTAACCCAGCTAAAATTGTTGGACACGTCACAAGACGGGGAAGTATTACATGGATAGGCAGAGTCAAATTACAGCATACATCTCCATCTGCGATCTGCTTTATGAGAAGAAAAACATAAAGCGAGAGGAGATTAAAATACTTTTTAATTTGAAATACTCTGGTGCATTTTCAGTGTTGCTTGCCTGGGTAGTTTGAATCAGACTGGTTTCAGTTGCAATTTTCTCCCCAACAAGAATGGATTCAACACGAAACAAGTGAAGATCAATGGAATGAATTGGAACCGCAGATGCTTCTACTGTTAGTTCACCACTGATAGGATCCGACAAAGAGCACTGAGTACAGACTTTCCCAGTCACCCGAAACCCACCTATGCAGTAATACCTTTGCATCAGCCATGAGACCATTGTAATTGATATTTGCAAATCGCAATAATCTAGAAGTCAGATCAGAGATTGCATAAAAACTTCAAGTGCGGTACATACAAACTTTCTATGTAAGCCAGTCTATCCTTTCATTACAAGAAGGTTTACTTTACAATGGAAGATAAGAATCGCTAGTTCAGAGATCTTAAAGTTGACCTATGAATAATAGAGGCCATTTATTCCCCAAAAAAGAATAAAAGAAAAAAATGGGATGAACAAAAATAGAAGTCATGAAGCTTGGTACAATTTTTTTTTGGAGAGAATTACAATAAGTCCTAAGGAAGGGAAAAAAATTACAAAACAAGTCACAAAGTTGTCATTCTCCACTCTAGAACTTGTCATTACAGAGTGCTCAGGTTATTATTGGAACTTTTTAGTAATTATTTTTCTTTCTTAGGACTTGATTGTAATTTGGGGGGGTGTGGAAAGAATTTCAAACATACCTGATTTTAATTCATGAAGGAGAGCATGTCTTTGAGTGTCTTGGGTAATGTAGAAGATAACCATTTCTGGAGAAATTGGACGTTGCAGCAGATCAACTGAAAATGTAACGACAAAAAGAATAGTAATTTGTAGCTTGATCATTCATAGATCATCTACCTGGGAAAAAAAAAATAGTGTACAGAACAGAATGATACCTTTATCACTTTCAACGATGAATTCCATTGTGGCTGATAAAGTTTTATGCAAGTATCCACGAGTTATATCTGCAGCGACCATATACTATTAAAAATGCTATCAATCACCATGAGTTCAAATTATGTGGATATTATATATAAAATAGGATGTAGAGAAATATATCCGCAGCATATCAAAAAGAGGCATAAAAGAATAGTAGAAACAACTAATGACAACTAACAATCTCTTATAAAGATGACTGACCAACAAAGCATCTCCTGTATAAAAATTACCTGAATATTGATATTTGAACCATGGAAAGTCTCATAGAATCTTTCTAAATCCTTGCCAGGCTGTCTCAGAATCACTGAGAAAGGTATCTGTCGAATTAAAGATTGCAAAATTCGCAGTAAGAACAAAATAAGTGAACAAGTCAAACAACGAGGTGAAATTATATTTTATATATGTAGCATGCCTCAACCCAGATGAATCCACTTGAAAGTTAGATTGTTGAAGTATCAGAATAAAACAAAGTAAACACTGCAACTTAAGGAAGCAACTTGTGCGTGCGCTTATGAACACCATCTGATGTTGCCAATTAAAAAAATTGATCCCACTTGATTTAGTGCAATGGTAAGTCATGTTTAGCAAAACTAGGCAGCATATGCAAATATGTCACCACATTTCACACTTCTAAATTCCAATGATTTTAATAAAACAATATCGTTCAATTTAATTCCATTCTTTCAATCAAGAGTCAAGGCAAAATCAAGAGAGAAAAGAGCAACAATTTATTGGTTACATGAAAGGCTACAAAGTAAATGGATAGATAAAAATAACTATGAAAGCATCAACTTAGATTAAGAAGGGATGCCAGAATAGAATTCTACTCAAGTTACTATTGCACACAAATATGCTTTGAATTGAAACATTTCCACTTATACACCATTGGTATACTACCTCCGTTGTACCTGGACCAATCTTTCCAGAAGAACCAACTTCAACGGTCCTCTTCCTGTTTACAGGCCAGAAATAAATATCATTTTTACCTATTTTGATGTGATTCAAAGAATTTCAAAAACAGCAAGAAGGAACTAGTCCTAGGTCTGAACTTAGCAATGGAATGTCCAGAATAAAATTGTTGCTGGAAAACACAATTACCCCCTTCACCGTGAAAAAGGTTTTTTATGTTTCAAATTCATGAAAGTTTCCCCTTCTCATGCAAAATATACAAGTGAACGATGGGCAGGAACAGCAGATCAAAAGCTAAATATACCATGGGTTTTCCAGAAATGCAAATTAAAATAAATAGAAGGTATGATCCTCACCGAAAGATTGAAAATGGTTTCTATAAATATGGTGCAGATTTTGGTCAAAAGTTTCTCTTTCAGGAGTGTTTTTCCTGCTTTGAGTGGTTCAGAGCTTCTTCAAAGTCTTTTTTTCAACCAATATGATTTTAAAAAAAAAAAAAAATCCTTTGGTAGCTATCTTCCAGCATAAAAAACAAGAGTGATTGTTTTCACAAATCTTTCAGTACATCAAACTAAACAAGTTGGGATTTACAAGTAGAGAGCTACTTAACTCCATGGAAATGAATAGCACCTTTATTTAAAATCTCAAACAGTTTCTTCACCCATTATATTTTTATTTTTTAATTTTAAATCACAACTGTGTTTCTACATGAAGGAACTCGACCATAAGTAATACACTAATACTTACACAATGGGGATTGGCTTAATAACTCCATAGTACGACTCAATAACCCCTGCTGATCCTCCGCGAACCTTCAAAAACAGCACGGCGCCCAAGCCATTTAAAATTTAACAACAATAAGAACAGAATGCCAGACGATCAATATCTTCTTAGCTTCACTTTTCTTGTTATTTCTGAGCAACCAAACGAAACAAAGGATTCAGTTAGCACCTGCAAGTTGACGGATCCTTTGATAGTAACACGAACTCCATTGTGGGAAATTGGAGACTCAGTCTTTACGATGATTTTTCCATCCAGAGTTTCCTGAAAGTTCCAATTAAGAAGAACGCTTTCGGGTCTGCTAGTAGAGAGAGAACGAGCGAAAACGAGGTCTGAGTTTTACCGAAGGACGATAGATACGATTGGAACGTGAGAGTTTGAGCTCAACTGACATAGCAACGACGACGGATAACTTAGCCCCGGCAATCCCCGATCAAAATGCAGCGCCAATTGCCCGCTACTACTTGTGCTGAAAGCCTCACAGAAATAACCCAAAAGAAAGGGAAATGTGCGTCAAGGTGCTAACTAAGAGAATTAAATGAGAATTGGTTGAAATCATCAAATTACTATGAAATCCGGAGCAATTCTATTTGTTCAATTAATAAATTATTTTTATTTTTTTAAGTATACATTTTATTGACAACTTAAAAAGCAATAATTAACAATTTAAAATATAATGATTAATAACTATCATGATAAATATTAACATTACATTTTCTCAACGTATCACAACGATTTAATACATAGGTTGTTAATACCTGTCGTAACAGTGATTATCCATTACACTTTAAATTGTCAACAACTGCCTTCTAAGTTGATAATGCATACTTAAAAAAAAAAAGATGACAATTTAGAAATTAAACAGATAGAATTTCTTACATTAAGATCCTTTGAGATTTTAAATTAATTTGATGATTTTAAAAAAAAAATTATATTTAATTTTTTTTAGGTGGGACCTAATATAATTTTTCCATGAAAAATGGGACTTTGATGCTACGAACATGAATAAATTTTAGAAATTTTTTAATTCATGTTATAAACCCTATAATATCATGTAACATCTAATGATTTTTATTTTTATTTCCAATAATTTAATTAACTTATAAATCGTGAGTTGACGTTTTGAATAAATTGCACCTCAAAGTATTTTTTTAAGTGCATCAAATACTCTAAAATATTTTTTAGGTGTATCCAGTATTCTAAAATATTTTTATTGCCTTGGTGTCAGATGTACACAAAAAAAATACTTCGACATGACATTAACCATTATTTAACTGACTACAAGAAACTGAAATCTTGAGATTTTTTTAATTTATTACAATAATAATATTTGCTTAACATCGTAAAAATGATGGTAACATTGAAGGGAATTTTTATATTGTCAATAATTTTTGATATCATGCTCTATTCTTTCCTAATTCCTTGTCATAAGATGAAATTATTGACATCATACCAACAAAAAAAATTAATCTCTTTAATTGAGGTGAAAAAATGATGTCTTTCAAATTACATTTTTTTTCATAAATTATTAATTGAGACTTTTTAATTTATATTACGTTCAAAAATTTAGTTGTTCATACGTTTTACAATCCACCTGATAAGATAAAGCATGTTATTGGCCCCAGGCAATTCTCTCCCACAGCCACCACCTGTCGTTAAGCATACTTGTTAAACACCTTGTCTGCATATTCCCTTGTAGCAGTAAAACATACTGCTTCTGTGTAATTTGGTCCTGCGGAAGCCACTTGATCTTTGTAACTTGCAACCTTCATGCATTGGATGCAATTTAAATTGTTACTAAATCGATTTTCTCAGGAAGCTAAAAAAACATCTAGGTTGCTAATATCAGCCTCAAAATCTACATACAAACATGACATTTGTGTTACATAATGGGTGGCACATTCGTTTGCGGATGGATGAGTATGATATCCTGCCCGTCACAGACGACACCCAGAAGTTCCCTTGTATTGTTAAAGGAGGGCTCCGATGGTGCTTGGAAAACTTGGTTTCAAACTTATGGAGCAAAACTATTTTAGGCAGCTAGACAATTACTGCGATCCCTCCTTCAACAATAGGTGATTCCCAGCCTAACTGTCAAGGATCGAAGCTGCTCCATCCGCTGTACTAGCATCGCCATCGACCATATTAGCATCCTCCGGGTTGCTTTCAGGCGGTGCACTTTCAGTTACTTGTCTATCACTCATTGGAGCATCTTTTGTGTTACTTTCAAGTTGTATATCTTCAGCTGCATGGCCATCAGTCATTGAAACATCTTCGGTGTTATTTTCAAGTGGCCTATTCTCCTCTGCATGGCCATTCGAATTCTGGTCCTCATGTTTCACTTCGTTTGTATCCATGGAAGGTGCTGCGTGACTAAAGTGAAAATTATTTTGCTCATACTGATGTCTCAACATCTGTGCCTGAAATGAAAGAAAATTGAAAAAAATGATAACTTCAGAAATTTTTGTTCTGAATTGAAGAATTTATCAGAGTCCTCAAGCAGGAGATGAGGAATCCTTTCAGGATGAACCAAAATTACCAGAAGCTACAAAACAAAAGAGACGATATGGTAAATATGAGATGAGGCACACCTGGTATAGTTCTTGTATAATACTACTCATCTCATCAATGCCACTGACGAGATGAATAGGTCCAGTATCTTCAACATGCCGTTCAGTATATGATGCAATCTCATTCAAATTCAGGGCAAGTCTATCAGGTCTCTTGAGCAGAAGCTGAAATGTAGGCTGCAGCTCATAGCATTGTTCAAAGAGAGAACGGCGGCAAAACACATATAAACCAAGTCGAGCACGAGACATGGCAACCACCAATCTTCTTACATCTCGCAGGTGACCAACAAATCGAGTACGTACAAGAGACAGCAATATAAAATCATTTTGCTGACCTTGAAACTTATCAACAGTAGCGATCTGAAGGCAGTAATGAGGAAAAACCGAAGATAAGGTCAATTCTTAACATATACAATCAAAGCAACAGGATTCCCTTACAAAATCAACAGCAACAAGAGTAGACAACTTTCATAATAACTAAACCAGATTTTAAGTTCCCTTACTCAACATGTGCTGACTATATTATTACCATCCCAGATTCTTATCCTCCTAATTTTTTTGTTATTTGATTTTCCTATTATCTCCTATTTTAACATAGTCTGTTTTCTCTACCAGTATTACAAGATTCTAGCAACAAATTTGGTGTCATGGCCCCTATAAATATTCTTCCATTTCATTAAAATAATTAAGTTATTCAACGCATTTCACAGTCTAATAACACAAATCTTTCTTTAATTTAGTTTATTATTCAGCTGATGTATCCATTTTTTATACTCACAAAGTTTGGAATATTTCTTGATCTTTATAATTATCTTGTAATTTAAACCAGACTGTCATTTCCTAAAACTCAAGACACATTGGCTGTTCTGTTTGCCCATTATCTATTTATGTATTGCACTTATATTGAGTAAAAGTGACGTCATTCAGACATCTTCAATCCCCTGAACGTCTCTGTCAAGATCATCAAGATACAACAGAAGTTTTCAATATACTCGCTTCTTGAATATAAAGCCAAAAGCAAGAAGGAACTGGTTGAAAAGACGGGAATCATGGTGTTCATAATGATGTCATCTTCCATATTAGTTGGATGACCAGAATTACCAATAACCAATGCAAGAAAACAGAGGACTTCCATTAATGATTTTTCGGTTTGAGGTAGAGTTGGGCAAGACCCAAGCTACTTTTGGATTGGTGGGTTAGAAGGCTTGTAAAGAATGAAACAAGAGTGGGAGAAGGGCATACAAAAACATAAAATGATTTTGGTAGGGGTTAGATTCTGAAGGCCGAGCATTGTCATTTATTTTTCTGCATATTTTCCTGTTTGTAACTTGCTATTTTGTGATCTTGCTATTGCAGTTGGACTCTTAAAGAGGTTTCCTCTGTATTTTCATTGTTATTAGGTTTTCTGTATTTTCCTCATTATCTGGTTGATCTCCATCAGTCTGACACACAACACTAGAATTTGTCCAAGTGACTTCTGACTGTCCAGGCAAATTAAGTCATCTTCAGAAATTAGGAACTCACAATTGAAGCCATCAGTGTCAAAGAAACTAAACTCAAACTGACACAGTTTGATATGAAGTGATGAAAAAAGGACTAAGTAGCATACCTTACTAGGAGGACCGATGAAGTCATATGGAACACATCTTCTTTTTACTACATCACGGATGAGAAGTTTCTGACCATTGTATGTAGTCAAAATTGATATCTTATTTGCTGGATATCCTAATAAACGCATGTATATGTAGACACTGACAACATATTCAGCTTCCCCCTCATTTTGGTAGAACCAAGGAGAAGGCGTGGTCTCACCCTTACCCAGGTAATCTGGAACATCCACTAACTGATAGTCATAGGAAAATCCAGCGTTTGCCCTATGGAATATCGCTTCCTCCTTCACAGAAGGAAGGTCTCCCAACTCTCTGTATCTCCAATTGTAAAGTTCAGCTATACTTGGCCTGGCTCTTCCCTGGGCATTTAGCTCTATGTAAGGAATTCCCAAACGGACAAATCTTGTAAATAAACTTTGATCCATGTGGCTATACTTTTGGAAAGCCATATTCTTCACAACAGGAGGCAACTGGTGATGATCACCAATCAAGATGCAGCGTTTAAGACGTGCATGACCATCTTCCTGTCTCTGGAGTAACATTGGAATAAAAGTCTCAATCTCTAAAATTTGGGCACTTTCCTCCATTAACAGGTTGTCATACTTAAAACCTAACTGAAGGAAATCTTTCCTCTTTAGAGCTGCATGAGTACAAGTCATGGCAACAATCTTAGCCTGCTTGGTCATTAAGTAGTTGGCCCTATCTGCTGTTGACTTTAGCAGTTCAAATGCTCGACACTCTTCAAGTTCTTGGAACATAGTTTTCAGATGCCGAAAGCACCCCTTAGCAGCCCTTAAGTCCCTCTCAAAAGATTCACCAGTAAATACTGGATGTGGCGTGTCAGAAAAGAATTCTTTGAAGGGGAAGCGATCTTGAACAAAGGTAGGTTTATCTTTGTTCTGAGAACAGGCAGCAAGAAATTGCTCCCAGCGTGAATATACATGAATCAACCAAAAGTAACCTGCAGTTTCACAAGTATAACCTACATCCTCTGGCAATTGAAGAGACCTTGCCAACTTCTCCACTTCACTCAGCAACTCCAACCGTCTGACAAGCATTGCATTAACACGGCCTTGCCGGCTAAAATCAAGATCAGTTGCTAGCTCTTGTTCTCCTTGACCAAGTCTAAGAAGATAACGTGCGGGCACATCCCTCTAAATCAAATACCAAAGTAAAAAGTAAATAGATAAATAAACTTATGAACAGAAGGCAATAAGTAAAACCCACAGGCTTCCAGACTTTGCACACTTTAACACCTCTCAATAGTATTAGTCCACATTTTT